CATATTTTTTTTCCACCCCGCGAATTACGAGAGTGAATTGTCGAGGATAGGTTTAAGATTATTCATATATAACCCGGCTATCGATAGCGTTTGCTCGTGGAAAATATTATTATATTAATAATAATCGATTTCAGAAGTATTTAGATTCGAAATCGCATGGATTCGTCACTTTCGTTCCATAATTTTTACGTTTCTTTTACATTTATTTATTCATTTGAACTTATTTCCCTTTTTAATTAATTTTTTTTTTCGTTTAACAATAATTGCAATCGATTCCATTGTTTTTTTTATTTTCATTTCGTTTTTTATATCTCTTCTTTTTTCATCATCCAACGAGAATCAATTATTCTTTTACGTCAGATGCTATATTTTAATCGGAATCGTTGCGTAAAATCGACGTTTAATTTAAACGCTTAGATGCTTAAATTTGCAGATTTTTCGCTTCCTTTCGCGCAAATTCATTAATTTTAATAGCTTTGATTAACGACTCAAAACGCGAAATATTCATCGATTCGACGAATATCTGAAAAAAATATTCTGCCGAAGGAATTTTCACTAGGTAAATGAATCTGAAGAGAGAAAGTACATTCGAATGGACATTCGATATCGAGATACGATTTACGTTTAGATGGAGAATTTTTCTTTCCCTCTCCTTCTCCTTTTCTTTTCTTCTCCCTTTTCAATAATATATATCTCGGTATCCTTAGACTGATGAAGAATTCACTAGTCGGAAGAAGAAAATCGTAAATTCGAACCTTTTTACTGTTTCTTTGTAGACAGAATTATAGATAGACGGTACGGTGGACGCGTGTATCCACCGTATCCCTTTCCATTTTTTCCTTCTATTTTTTCTTTCGATACTTTTGTTTCGAACTCTAAATTCTCAAAACTTTCTGCCCGTCGTCAGATTATTTTATCTTTACTTTTTTGATAAAATAAAAAAACTTTAGCAAACTCTAATAATCAAGTTTATTTATATTATATCTGTTTCTTTTAATTTTAATATTGTAAGAACGATTCACAGTCATAGGTTTCTTTTTTCGCGCTGGAAAAATTTTCGCAATGAAAAACTACACGATCTGGCACTTGAAGATTCAAAATAATCGAGATATCGAGATTTTTTTTTTCGAATTGGCGTTAATTTTGATTTTTTTGTTCCGTCGAATATTTTCTATAAGGAAAATTCCATTTTGACGAAATTCATCGTACGAATTTGGATCGTTTTGATCAATCAGCCGCGATATAAAGTTTTTCAAAAGCTTTTCAAAAAAAAAAAATTCTTCGATGCTCTAGTAAAATTCATTGACTAGGAGAATTCAACCGAACTTCCGAACTTTTCAGCTAATTTGAACGGACGAAAATGCAAATTATACCGTGAGAGTATACTCTTAGAACATATTAAACTCCGTTGGAACGTGCGCAAGTTTTAGCTAACTGCCGGACATGCCGAACAGCAATTAGGCATCAGAACCTATTTAGATTCTGTTTAATTTTGCCATGAAATTTCGAGTTAAATTGCAAACTTTCCACGGAAACTTTTAAATTCCATCACGTTATATTTTATTTTATTTTTAATCTCAATTCCATCTTTTATTTCTTAGAAATAAGAAGATTTTTAACCCCTATTAAAAGTCATTGAGGATATATAGCATACATATAGGCATTTTAAAAATTTTTGTATATTATTTTATTTCAATATAATTAGTTTAATATCTAATAGCGAATGATAATAGCGAATAATGATTTTGTTTCGAAAATCATCGTGAAAGAAAAGACGATGAACCGTGACGAAAGAGAAAGACAAAACTTCTCGTCCAATCTCATATCATTATTCTCACATAAATTATTTTACAAGATACACCAAATTATATCCTCGTTAAAAATAACATCAGTAATTTTTAAAATTTGCTTCCTAACTTCTTTACCTCCTTTTCTTCGTCCCTCGATTCGTCCCTCTTTTCTTCTCTAAATCAACGTTTACGAAAGTTTTTTTAAACGGGAGGGGATGGGAATCGGCTCTCTTATTATTACCATAAAAGCGCGAACTGCTATATTTCATCAAGACAACTCGCGGAACAGGAGTAATCGAGTTCTCCCGTTGACTATGACGTCTCGTAACAATGCCTCCGGCCCTTGCTACATTGAGGTAATTCCACGTCTTATCGCGTGCCACTTCCTCCCTCTCCGAAAGAAAAATATACCCTTGTATCAGACACCGGCGGAAACTTTCTCGTTCTTTGTTTCTTAAGCGATTGTGCGTCCCCTCCTAGCCTCCTCCTACCAGTTACCTTCATGTTCATTGTTCTCCCATGTTTCTATCGACACTATTGTCATTTAACTCGAATCATTTACACATCGAGTATCGCGGTCACGAATAATTCTCAAAAATGCGATTATAAAAGTTTTTTTCCCCCCTTTATTTCATTTCTCTCAGGATAACGATCGAGATTTATCATACTTGTAATAATTTTATTACTCGAGTTGCATATAAACATCGAAGTTATATAAGAAGCAGTTCAACACGAAATTATACATCTCGATCGTTAGATTTTTATTAGATTAATTTAGATTATTACGTTTATATTCGAAGATTAAGAAGGATGCCGATAGAAAATTTACCCCTTAATCATTCTCTTGATCAAAAGATTAAGATATTTCAGAGGAGAAGGGGAAATTTCCAAGGATATTCAAATAAAAACGCAATTATCTCTATTCACCTCATCCAATCAACCAACAACGTTCGTTCACATTCACAACGTATATATATATTCCGAGAAGGGAGACGAAATGCAAAGGAATCACGATTAACAAAAACGAAATTTGAACGACACATGGCGAGGGTTTCCTTCAACGGCGGGCGTAGATACACATTAGTTTGCTATTTTACATTGTTCAAGAGGGAACCGTCGGCGCAGGCAAGTATGTCAACCGGCGTTTCATAGGAAGAACAATGGCAGCGGCGGAGGTAGTGTAAAGTGACGATATAACAGCTCGCGGGGGAACAAAAGCGATGCGGGCATACTTGTTTAAAACGCTTATGTCGATGTCTCAATTGTACCGGTTCTGCATCTCCCTCAACCACCACCACCACTCCTTCCTCTCCCCCTCCCCCTCCCTCCCCGTCTTTTACCATTCTCCATTGCATTTTCCACAGGCCCGTTGCAAAATTGATATTTGCATTCTCTCGACGACTACAACCGAGATTACTCGTTTCTGTTCCAATTTCTAGCGTCGCGTAAACTATTCGAACAGATAAACCGTGCGCGCATCCTCGATCCGTGTCATGGAAATGCGGGGGGAGGGAGGACGGTTCCAATTCAATCTGAACGCATTTTCATGCATTCAACGTGTGTTATTGAAAAAGTTATGCCCCGTGATTTAACCGTTCTTGATTGTTTCGCTGCCAAGTTGAAAAGTTTCGAAGAGTGCAAAGTCGTAGGGGATGGATTCGAAGGGTGGATTTTGAAAATGGTGGAAGGTTTAACAAAATATTTTTTTTTTTCAATCTCGAGATATTTATTCGCTTTTAAACATTATTCATTGTCTTAAAAAAATATTTTCAAATCTGAATTTCTGAGTTATGTAAAATTTGCGAAATAGCTCTAGAAACGAATTGCGACACGTGTAATTAAATTCTGTTTTCGAGCTGAAGGTAAAAGAGTCGAAAGGTGAAGATTGGTTCTCCGACTTTTATCATTCCGTTTAATGGAGATCGTGCACTTTTCTAGCGAGCTACTTTTCCGTGAAAGAGCGGAAGTGGAATTAGGATTCTTCTGGGTCTAATGGCACGTGAATACTAGAGACGTTTCCTTTTTGGTAATTATCGATCGATATCGATTAGGATATCGATCGTGAAAGAAGGAACAATATTGGGATTAGACGAATTTGTTGACCGAGAGAAAATACTTATCGTTGATTGGATCCAGTACTTTCTGTCAAAAACGAGATTAGGTTAATGTTTGGTTGATAGAAATTTGTTATTTTATTTTCCCTTCTGCGGCGTGTGTAAGTCTGTCGTACAGAATGTGCAAGTTCACCTATACAAGACCATAGCACGAGCTCTTAAGTTCGGCAACTAATTCGCAATCCCATAATCCTTGGTCGAAGCTTAACATTCTCGTGGTGACATGCCAATCGCTATTGAAAAGCAGAGGACAGAAACTTTCGATCCTCTGCGCCCTAATTAGAATTCGGCAGAGTTTTCCTGTCTCCAACCGACGAAATTGACGAATATTCCCCATTTTTCATTAAATTTCTGGCATTTTCGCGAAAAACGATTCGTCCATATTTAAAAAATAAAACTACGGATTAAAAGAACGAAACGAATTTCTTTTCTCTTTTTAAATTTTTAAACGACGGGATCTGAATCATATCCATCGTTCTGATATTGAGCGAAAAACACGCTTCCGGGTATATGTTCTATCGCTATTTTTTTCTCACGCGAATATTCTATATTTTTTTAAATACAGGAAATTGAACTTGTCATTCTTCTTAGAAAAAAAGAAAAAAAAACAAAAAAGAATGTATAAATTTGCATGTATCTTTTTACGCAAAAATTTTTTCCTTCGATCGAACACATCGAATAAAGAAAGAAAAAGAAATTAACTTGTAACGTATAATCTTTATCTTTCGTACATATTTCGTTTTGTTTTTACATTTTTAGATTATCTTTTTATTTATATAGTAAACTTTTAATCACTATTATAAAGATGAACACAATTTCTTTTGAGTTATACCGAAACTTTATCTCCAAGAGATGTACTTTGAAACTCAATCTTGCAAAGATATATAGAGGAATTTAATCTCTTCTAGTTACACATTGAAACACGATCTTGTTGAATATAATTATTATTATTTCTTCTTTTTTTTTTATTGGGAACTACGATTAAAAATAAAGTGGGATGGGATCATTTTACAGTGGAATAATTTTTTCAACAAAAGTTTATTCAAAGTTAAGATATTTTTTATAATATAATACATTATATATTTTTATGTTTCAGGTAAGTGACTACTCTACAACTCTAGCCTAGTAGCCTCTCTCTCTTCTATGGAAACTTTTAGAATTACTTTTAGGTAAGTAGATACTAAATATTATATACAGAACGATATATACAGAATATATATAGTAAGAATAAATAAAATATAGTTTCAACAATAAGAAAAACGATTGTAACAATGGATTGTAAGAAATATATAACAATATAAGAATAAATTATGATTATCATAATAAAAAAAAGGGGGGGATTTTTGCATTTATACCTTATATTTTGCATATTTCAATCGTTTAAAGATCTTTGATGTATAAATTTATCGAATTTAAGTTATTTTTATTAAATCAAGACTACATTTCATTTTAATTCATATTAATATCGGTGCTTATATAATTTCTTTCTTGTCTTTTTAATATTTTTGAATAATCATCACTTGTGCATAAAATAATTTATTTTGATAACGTATCTTATGATACTTACGATTCATTGAACTTAACTTAAAATAACTTTAAAATTTCTTTTATTTTTTATTATTATAATCGTTACAAATATTTCTTATCTTACACGCATATTATCTATAAATACGATACATATCTACACTTTATTAATAATTCCACATTTACGGTGGAATATTTCCATCGTGTTCCCGTGTTCTAACATTCGTTCAACGCGTGTCGATTATACGATTCAATGTTTCTTTTGAATCGATTTTGTGTAATTCTGCCGATAAAAATTGTAGAAAAGTAAGAAATTTATGATTAACTGAGAGATTGCGGTGTTAACTGGCACTTTCGATACAGGACAAGACGGAGAATATGCTTGTAATGCATACAGTGTACAAATAACGAATTGGACCTAATGCAATAAGAGAAAAATGCTTATAATCAGATTTCAATTATTAAACAAGTTTACACTCACCATTTGCACCGAGGTTATTATTGGTTTATATGGGGACAATATTTTTTGCATATTCGGCCCAAGCGTGCTCAGATAATAATACGTGTACATGATCACGTGTACGGCACAATTTATCAAAATACCGAACGAGGTCATGGTAACAGCATAATATTTCGTCATGAACCATAGTAAAAGGATCGTGGACACGTGATGGTACACGTGCAAAAATGATATCTGTTCCTGTTTCTTTCTCAACACGAACACCACTGTCTCCGCGAGATCGATCAATTTCAACATTGTAGTTAACCACATCGTATAAGCTATCTGCGCGAGGGAATTACATGAATTTATATGAATATAATTGTATCGTGTATTTGACGGTAATAATGACGGAGAGATAAGAATATATTTTACCTTCACTGGACCAGGTTTATACGAATAATCTGGCATTTCGCAGAACACGCTTATCTCGGAGAACCAGCCTGCACTTATGTTTTGTTGCACCAGATACGCGTTGGCGATTATTTGAAAGATGTTGTACCATTGAATGAAAGTTTTCAGGTTGTACGGCTTTCGATTTTTCATAAATTGTGGACCACATTTTAGGACAAAGTATAAATATGAAAATATAATGGTAGGAATGATGATGGGTGATCCTATCAATGGTAAATTATTCGTTCTTGAATCTAAAAAGAAAAAAAAGAAAGAAAAAGGAAAGTAAGTGAAATTGTTGAAATTTTTATCGAGAAAGGAATTTAGGATACTCACCAGATCTCTCGTTCCAATAATAATTGTATATCTCTACGAGTTCCATTTTTGATATTTTTTTTCGTTTCGATTATATTATCTAAGATACACCATTTGTGTTTAAACGAGAATATTAATATTCGATTAATTTCTTTTATGAGCAATTATTTATCGATTTAATTTTTAATGTCGTTACGTATATAAATACCGCACCTGATTGATGTATGAAATTGACTGTCCAACAATCGTCGGTGAGAGGTATTTATAAATGTGAACGATATGCGTGTATTGAAAATTTGTCATACATATTTACGTTGAAATGTATGATGCTTATATACATATATCGTGGTATGCAAATTAATTTAATGTATGTAAATTTTAATTAGGTCACAAGGTTAAGCAATAGAAGTATCGATTATTTTCGCATAAATAATGTAAAAATATGGTGATCTTCCTTTATGAATTTATAAATAACTTATTAATTGGTAAATATTAATTTCGTAAAAATAAGATAGAAATAAAGGGATTGTGTGTTAATTAATTTATTTTCAAAGAAGAGATTAAATGAAAGAGGAGGATAGTCAAAAATATAAGGATACTCCAGTATATAATAAACAATAATAGAAACATATTTATATAACGATATAAAATTTTCATCCTCGTTTAAAGAAAGATAAATAAGAAATAAACGAAGATGTAAATAAATGCAAAAAATAGAATATATTATTTATAGATTGATAAATTATACAATTACATAATAAATTCTAGAGTATATATTTTCTCCACTTTTTAATTTAAGTAATTATTTATTTGAATTTCATTGCAATAATATATTCAGATTTAAATTTATAATTTTAATGTAATTGTTTTTTTTCTTTTTGCACTAAATTATATATAAATTAATAATTATAACTCATTTGGCAATTAAGATAGAAACATTGAAAATTATTATATTTCATAAAATGTTTTTATCTTAACTTTTGTTTTTCATATTTTAATCTCTCTTTGATTATATTATACCCTACGAATATATTAATATCATCTACAAATTATAATACATATCTTGATATTTTGATCAAATCTTCATCAATATTCAAATTATTCGAATAACTTCTTAAAAATTCTTCAAAAATATTTGTCCTGTTTATTAAAATGGCTTTTGAATTTATAATTATTTTTATCGAATTAAAGATCATCTACGCAATCTTTCATTCATGTTATTTGTCTTTCATTTACAATATTTTATAAATACACGCACGAATTTTGTTATCCAATAGAATCGTTTCGTTTCATGATAAATATCTATATATCATATCCGCTTAAGAGATTAAAAAAATAACGATTGAATAAAAGAAACACGGCACAAAACAAAAAAAAAAAATTAACACTCCGTATTATATTATACTTTTTTTGTTTTTTATTTTTCTTTGTTTAATTTAATTGAAACAATTCTCGTGTTTCGACGAGTTATTTAATCATGTAAATCAGTTATGTTCGAATGCTACGTTTGAAAGTTCGATAGTGGGCCAGCAAGTGAGAAACTCCAGCAAAGATATAATCGAAAAGTTAGAACTTGAGCTCGCGAATTTCTCCGGAGAATATATTAAGTATCGCTGATTGAGATAGCCTTGATCGAAAACGATCAAGAGGGAATTGATACCTATTGGACTTATTCTTCCGATACCGCGAGGACCACTTTTTAAAATCGAAGAAACTCTCGAAACGTTAATGAAAAAAGTTGGTTGCGGCTATGACTTGATTCTATTTCGTTCGAGGATCAACGGAGATAAATATCATGAAGTTACTGTTGAGACTTTCCGATATTTTTTCTTTCTTCCTTCCTTTCTTTTTTGAAACAAAAATTCAAATCTCTTCGCGAACATTGCAATTCATTTAATCTGGGAGTAAAGAATAATACTATTAACGAAATGAGCTACAATGCTTGGGAACAGAAGGATTGAACGAAATGATGGTAATGAATAATTTTTACCATTACTTTCATTTCCTTTATTCATTCCATCCTTTTTTTTCCAGCATCATGATGCGAAATTTTTATTTTCCACGAAAATCTCAAATCTTTGTGAAACGTATATCGACATTCTTATCGTCATATAAATTTTTATAACACTATCCTCGCAATTAAACAATATAAAAATACATTTATACTGTTCATTATTATTATATATTTATTATTTGACAATTTATCTTATTAAAATCATAAAATTTCCACATTAAGATACACTCGATTCATTTGATTCGAACGCTCGATATCCGATGTTCAAGACACTTGCACAAATGCAAGAACGTTTCTATTCCCTCCCCATCCTCCCCGAGTTTCTTGACTCCGCCGAATTTTCGATACTCAAACACGGGCAAATTAATATCGAATCCCGAATTCGACGGTAGTAACCGGCTCGCCCTGATCTTTGATCTTTCCTAACTATGAAAGAACTTTCCAAAATCCACCACCAATATTCAAACTCGAATCTCGTGAATGCAGAGTTGAGGTATATATATATAAGAGCTACGAAAGAAGTTGGCCAACAGATCTTGGAAGGTGGAAAGTTGAAGAGAATTCTGAGGGATGAAGCGGACGATGAAGTGGTAATCGTGCAGTTCAGGATGGCCGACCTGTTTCGAGGCCCATCAACTTGGCCGAGGGACGTATTAAGCATCGCTAATCGAGGTAGTTTAGTCGGCGGGAAACTGGCGAGGGCGGAGTGGTAAACTGGGCTTGGTTCACTGGAGAGAGGGGAGGAGTTGCGGGGAGGGGAGGGGGGAGGCGAGCATTAACCGAGCCTGGAGCCTCTCTGCTAAGTGCTGCAATTTATTTTATTACCCTCCGCGCGTCTACGTTTGGAAACCCTTGGTCGGAGCTTCCATTCGCGGCGAAAACACCAATAGGTCGCGGAAACGTAATTTACACCGAGTTGCGGACGTTGGAGAGAGGGGGGAGAGAGAGATGGAGGGAGAGGGAGGGAGGAAGGGAATGGGAAGAAAATGTATCGACGTGCGAAAACAAAGGATCGTTTCGTTCCTCCAGTTGTTGACACTTGGTTTCTGCCGACGTTTCGCCATTCCCTTCCTTCCGTTTTATCCAAGTCTGATCTGATTTTCCTTTCGATTGTCCGTTGATTTACGACATCGATGGATGTGAAATAAGTTCTTCGATTTGCTCGCGTGTGTGTGTGTGTGTGTGTGTGTTACGTATGCTGGTGCGTGTATTCCATTATGCAAATTATCGTGGAGAAATCACCAAGTAGAGTGGTAAGACATTGTAAGAGAAGGGAGAACATTGTAGACAAGTAAGGTCAATCGAATTTTACAATGATAATTATCGGCCTAGTTTGGTGAACTCGCGAGGCGACCTTTTTTTTTTTTTCTTTTGGAAATTTTACCATTTGAGAATTTTTTTGCTGAGAACAATGCAAAACTTGT